GAATCCATGAAGCAGATTCAAGCAGATATCCAGGAGAATAAAAATTCTATTGAAAGTATTCATAGAAGATTAAGCCAATGTGAGGACAAGATCTCACACATAGGAGACAGGCTTACAGTTAGCAATCATGAAGGAAAAGATTTCTTAAAAATAGCAAGGGGAGCCAGGCGTGGTGGTGCACACCTGTAATCCCAGCACTTGACTCTGGAGGCTGAGGCAGAAGGATCTTGGTGAGTTCAAGACCAGCCTGGGTTACAAAGTGAGCTCAAGACCAGGTTGAACTGCATAGCGAGACCCTGTCTCAAAAAGACAAAGAAAAAAAAAATAGCAAGAGACCATGAGAAATCAATCCAGCAGCTGCTAGATGAGGCAAAGAATAAGTTAAAATTGGAGTGAATGAAAAAGCAGGAGATAGAACAGATGATATTAAAAAAAACTGTTTACAGACATCATTGCAGAAAATTTCACTGGTAGGGAAAAAGAATTTGACATATAAATAACTGAGAGGCATACAGTATTCCAGTTAGCCACAATAAAAAAAAAATCTACAGCCAGTCATAACATAGTCAAGATTCTAGAAATTTAACATAAGAATAGAATCTTAAAAGTTGATAGGGAAAAGAAACAAATCACTTATAAAGGAAAGCCCATCAGAATCACAGCTGACTTCTCAGCACAAACCCTCAAGTCAAGGAGAGCTTGAAGTATTTTAAGTTCTAAAGGAAAACAACATTCAACCCAGATTGATGTACCCCACAAAACTATCTTTCAAAACTGATGGAGAAAGAACATGACAAAGAACATCTGAGGAAATTTATGACCACCAAACCCGCACTCCAGAATGTTTTGAAGGACATTCTAGAAAGCAGTAACAAGGATTACAACTCCATGAACCCCAAAAGAAGGAAAGAGAGGGAACCAACAACAGGAAAATAACATGAAAAGGAAAAGTCAATACATATCAGTTACAATCATCAATGTTAATGGTTGAAGTTCACCAATCAAATGACACAGACTGGCAGAATGGATCAAGAAGCAGTATGCTGCATACAGGCAACACATTGAATTCAAAAAGAAATTCAC